TTTTGACTTTACCGACGCCCATTAGAATTTAAGTCTAATTTGGACTGAGACCCATTAAAGCGGCCTCATTTGGACTGGGCCCCATTAGATCTAGAGCCTATTAGGAACATCCCACCTGACCTACACACCTTAGGGCACGTGCTCACCTGCGTCAGGAGAAGGAGCCGGGTTGTAGGACGACACGATGCTGTTGAGGGAGTGGAAGGCGTCAGGAAAGGCCGACGCCCTCTCGAACAGGGAGATGAGGCGTGAGACGGGCGTGGGGTCCTCTCCTGCGCCCGCCCCTGGGGACACCTCCGGGGGCGTGGGTAGTGGCTCTGATCCTCCTCCAGGTCCTACGCCTCCTGACGACGAGGAGGAGCCAGCTGGTGGTGAGGAGGAGGAAGGGGGAGAAAATGACGTGAAGATTAGTTGTGATTGTGGTGTCTGGGGTGATTGGAGGTAGGTGGGATTAGGAGAGTGAGAGAAAGGGATTGGGATTAGGAGAGTGAGAGAAGGGGATTGGGATTAGGAGAGTGAGAGAAAGGGATTGGCATTAGGAGAGTGAGAGAAAGGGATTGGGATTAGGAGAGTGAGAGAAAGGGATTGGGATTAGGAGAGTGAGAGAAAGGGATTGGAAGTGAGGAGAGTGAGAGAAAAAAGTGAGAGTAAGAAATATTAGGGACAAAGGAGAGAGAAAATTTGAGGAAAAGAGGAATTAGGTGAAAATGAGAAAGAAAGTGAGGAATAGAGACAGTAAGAGATAATGAGAGAAATTAAAACTGAAGAGAATGGATAAAAGAGATAATACATTAGGTTAGGTTAGATTAGGTTAGATTAAGTTAGATTACCTGTAGGTTAGGTTAGATCAGGATTTTTAACGAGTTACATTTTAATATAATATTTTACAAGAACAAGATTATATCAGGGTTTAAAATAAGGAGTATTTAATTTTCTTCCAATTATTTGTTTCATACTTATAAAAAAAAATTTAAATAAAAAAAAAATATTTATATTATAATTCTCATGACTACAGCTGAGTCAGTACTAATAATTTATTCTTTGTGGTAAATAAATCAGATTTATTTTATTAATAGGAAATGTATATATTTTTAATTTATTCTAATATCATGAATCAGAACATTTAAAACGATCATATAGGTTAATTCAGGTTTAATTCACTCTATTCTAAACCATTGGATCGACTCTGTAAACATAGTCACTTAACATGAACTAAACACTACAGAGATGTGAGTGTGTTTCAGAGCTCCAGTGTTTATGTTATAACCCGCGTCTCTATTACCTGTCCTAGAGGTGTGCTGATTGGAAGGCAAATAATATCTCACCAGGTAAACATCAATCACTCCCAAGGTCTATCAATTTATGTTAAGGATATGTAAAGAGAGAGATAGAGAGAGAGAGAGAGAGAGAGAGAGAGAGAGAGAGAGAGAGAGAGAGAGAGAGAGAGAGAGAGAGAGAGAGATAGATAGATAGATAGAGAGAGAGATAGAGATAAAAATTAAAAGTTATTGTCCCTAGAAAGATGGAAATTTTGGCAGGATTAATAAACAAAGTAAAAAAAAAAAATCCGACAATATTTACAGTGGTGGGCAGTGGTCGCCAACCCTAAGAAGAAAAAATAACATGCTAAGATAAATCACATTATATCCTCACCCGTATGTGGTCGATGATGCTGCTGCTGCTGATGATGATGATGATGATGATGATGATGAGGATGATGATGGGGCTGATGATGATTTCTCCGGGGGTCAGGATCCGGTGAGCTACTTGGGGAGGTCTCTGGGGTGTTAAGTGAGGAGGCTACACTCACAGCTGCTGGGGTAGGGGTCGCTGTGCCCCCTTGACTCGACCCCCTGGCTACCTGGGCTTGAGTTCCTCCAGTAGGTTGGGTCACTGAGGATGACTGTGGTGGCCCCGTGGCATTCGGTTTCTTGGGCTGCTGTTGCTTACGGCGGCGCGGGCGGTACTTGTAGTTGGGGTGTTCTGCCATGTGTTTCAGTCTTAGTCGTTCTGCTTCCTCCACGTATGGGCGTCTGTCCGTGGGCGTTAGGGAGCGCCATTTTCTCCCTGGGGAAGAAATTTGCGTTAGTTTGTTACTCTTGTGAAATATTTGTCCTGTTAATTGATTCTCAAACAGGTGATTCCCAAACAGGTGATTCCCAAATAGGTGATTCCCAAATAGGTGATTCCCAAATAGGTGATTCCCAAACAGGTGATTCCCAAATAGGTGATTCCCAAACAGGTGATTCCCAAACAGGTGATTCCCAAATAGGTGATTCCCAAACAGGTGATTCCCAAACAGGTGATTCCCAAATAGGTGATTCCCAAAAGGTGATTCCCAAACAGGTGATTCCCAAATAGGTGATTCCCAAACAGGTGATTCCCAAACAGGTGATTCCCAAACAGGTGATTCCCAAACAGGTGATTCCCAAATAGGTGATTCCCAAACAGGTGATTCCCAAACAGGTGATTCCTAAGCAAGTGACTCCTAACAGCTGATCGAAACAAAAACAGCTGAACCACTCCCTAAACAGCTGAACCACTCCTTAAACAGCTGATCCACTCCCAAAACAGCTGATGTTGAGCCTGAGGGGTGATATAACAAGTAGCCCATGACTATTATTAAGGGTTGAAGAACATAATAACCCATGACTCATAATAAAGTGAAGAACAGATACCAACCCATGACTTACGCTATAATAAACAAGTTAAGAATAACAAATAATAAGTAAAATGATTAAAATATACCAGAAACAGAAAAAAAATCGATTTTATTAATTTTATTATTTAAAATTTCGTATGTTGCCAATTTTTTTTAATAACTATATTTATATACTATTTTCTATGTGTAAATTCATGTTAAAATATATCTCTTAACTGTAATATTTTTCCAGTATATTTAACTTAATATATCCTTCTATAATATATTTCAAATATATCCCAATGTAATATAATATCGTTACTATGATATATATTCAGAATCTAACGCAATATATATTTCTGTAATCTATTTTCAATATTTTTTACGACAATATTTCACGTTTCCAATATTTTTCAATACAATAAATTGACCTATGATATTTTACAGGTATTTTCAGTGTAATTAATCAATATCGCTGTCTCCCCCTGATAACTACTGCACTTGGTAATTAAAATGTCTAATTGGTAGTTCCCCTCTTTCACCACTTGTGACAGCAAAGACGAGTATATGTACCATCACTAGTGTTGTAAATATTTAACTGGTGATTCGCCTTTGGGTTGTTAGTGCCTTATACTGTACTTAAGTTGAAAATTTTATATAGAATACATGTTAGGTTAGGGTTAGGTTTCTACTGGGGGTGAGGGGGGGAGGGGGACGTTTTCTACAGGTAAACGGGTGGAGTTCTACTGGGGGAGGGGGGGGGTTGAGGTGGGGGGGGGGAGGTCAGGTGGGGGGTTGGGGGTGGGGGGAGGTTTAGGGGTGGGGAGGGGAGGTTTCACTGGGGGTGGGGGAGGGGAGGTTTCTACTGGGGGGGGGGGGAGGGGGGGTCTGGGGGTGGGGAGGTTTCTACTGGGGGGGAGGGAGGTTTCTACTGGGGGTGGGGGAGGGGAGGTTTCTACTGGTGGGTGGGGAGGGGAGGTTTCTACTGGGGGGTGGGGGAGGGAGGTTTTCACGGGGGTGGGGAGGGGGTTTCGGGGGGGAGGGGAGGTTTCTACTGGGGTGGGGAGGGAGGTTTCACTGGTGGGTGGGGGGAGGGGAGGTTTCTACTGGGGGTGGGGGAGGGAGGTCTCTACAGGTAACGGTGGGTTAGTTTCTACAGGTGTTCCGTTGTGGTGTTACAGGTTGGCAGTACGTGAGGGGGTGGGCCTTTTACTTACTGTTACACAAGGTGGGATTAGTGACGCGAATTTGTTGTGGCGTGGAGGAGGAAAGGAGGGAAGGGTGGAAGGGGAGAAGGGAGAGGAGAGGGGAGAGGGGAGAAGGAGAGGAGAGGAGAAGGAGAGGGGAGAAGGAAAGGAAGGAAGAGGAGAGGGAAGGGGCAGAAAAGGGGGGGTGAGAGGAAGGAACTTGAGTAGTTATGGTGATGATGGTGTGGTGGTGATGGTGGTGATGGTGGTGATGGTGGTGGTGTGGTGGTGATGGTGGTGGTGATGGTGGTGATGGTGGTGGTGATGGTGGTGATGGTGGTGGTGATGGTGGTTGTGATGGTGGTGGGATGGTGGTTGTGATGGTGGTAATGGTGAAAGTGGTAAGAGTGATGGGAGTGATGACAATGATGATCAAATTGAAAGTGACGATCGGTGAATAATGCAGATGATAGTGACGATGGTGATGGTGATGGTGATGTATGATGTAACACCTGTATAACGTTGTAACACCTGAGATACTCATTAACACGGTGTTGTAATGTGACGTCAACCTGTTAATACTATCCCACGGAAGCTCTCCCTCACCCTCACTCCTCCCCCACCCTCACCCCTTTCCCACCCCATCCCCACCTCACCCTTTCCCTCAACTCCACTCCTTTCCACCCCCCATTCCCTCCCCCACCACCCCTTCCCCACCCCCACCTCACCCTTTCCTCAACCTTACCTCCTTTCCACCCCATTTCCTCCCCCACCCTCACCCTTCCCCACCACCCCTTCCTCCCTCACCCTCCCCCATTCCCCATCCTCCCCATCACCCATAAACACCATTAAACATCTCCCCATTTCCTACCATTCCAACACTTTCCCTCTTAAAGGATTTTGTTTACATCATCACTATGGAACGTACGCCTTCCCTCCACCGCGTAGTGACATACTTACGGGAGTTGCGCCAGACGAAGGTACGCTCGCTATGTGCCAGCAGTGGTGTTCCTGTTGTGGGTCGAGCGTATGACCTCCCTTGGTGGTAGTGTGACGTAGGGAGGGAGGGAGGGAGGGTAGGAGGGAGAGAGGAGGGGAGGGAAGGTGTGAGAGTGTGACGGATGGAGGGAGGGAGGGAGAGAGGGATGGAGGGTGTGAGAGTGTGACGGGAGGGGGGGGGAGGGACAGAGGAAGGGAGGGAGGGAGAGAGGGAGGAGGAAGGGTGAGAGTGTGACAGAGGAAGGAGGGAGGGTGGGAGGGAGGGGGAGGAGGGTGTGAGAGGTGACGGAGGGAGGGAGGGAGGAGGGAGGGAGGGAGAGGAGGGGAGGGAAGGTGAGAGTGTGACGGGAGGGGAGGGAGGAGGGAGGGAGGGAGGGAGGAAGGGTGTAGAGTGTGACGGAGGAAGGGAGGAGGGAGAGAGGGAGGAGGAAGGGTGAGAGGTGACGGAGGAAGGAGGGAGGAGGAAAGAGACGACTCAGTTGATGTTTCCTTCCTAAATAACATCACCTTCCCATGGCCCTCCCACATGAGTTGTCTCCTTCCTCACCCCTCCCTCATCCGTCCATTTCACCCCTCCCTCACCCTCCCTCACCCCTCCCTCACCCCTCCCCCTCACCCTCCTCACCCCTCATCCTTACCTGCATTTTCTTTCCTCCCCCTACTATCCTCTCACCCATCACCTTTCACTTTTTTCCCTTCCGTTTCCTCACCTCCACGTCACCCTCATCTCTCCTCATCCCTCACCCCTACCTCACCCCTCACCCCTACGTCACCCCTACGTCACCCCCCTCAACTCTTCCTCACCCCTCCCTAACCTCTTTTTCCTCCCCTTTTCCTGTATCCATTATACCACATTTTCCCTCTCTTCCATCTCTTCTCTTCCTTCTTTCTTTAGCTCTTATTCTAATTTTTCCTCTTCCACTCTTTTCATCTTCCCTCTCTTACGTTTCCCTCTCTTTTTTCTCTTTCTTCCCACATTTACCTGTTTCTCCTCCTCTTCCTGTCCCTTCCTTCCTCCCCTCCTACCTTGACCTCTTCCTCTCCTTCACCTCTCACTTCATCCCTCACTCTCTCTCTCTCTCTCATGAATAATTATCGTAATGATTATACATCAACTACAACAACAACAACAACAACAACATTATCATCAACAACAACAATAGTAACAACAACAACAACAACAACAGTAAATTATCTTTGTCAGAGAGAGAGATGCCAAAGGTCACATAGTATGCCAAAGGTCACCTAGTAGGTCAAAGGTCACCGAGTAGGTCAAAGGTCACCGAGTAGGTCAAAGGTCACATAATATGCCAAAGGTCACATAGTAGGTCAAAGGTCACAGTATACCAAAGGTCACATAGTAGGTCAAAGCACATAGTATACCAAAGGTCACATAGTATGCCAAAGGTCGCATAATATGCCAAAGGTCACATAATATGCCAAAGGTCACATAGTATACCAAAGGTCACATAATATGCCAAAGGTCACATAATATACCAAAGGTCACATAATTTTACAATATTTCTTCCACTTTCTATACATTTTACTTCACTATATTAATTAACAAATAAATCCTTAAAATAAATAAATAAATCGTGTATATTTGTAAAAGTTTATATTATACTTTTTGATATTGTTTAAAAGTACACAAACAAAAAATTTCAGAATACGAAGAAAAAAAATGTTTACTGAAAGAAAAATGTTTGGTTGTATCAGAAGCACAGGTGAGTCTTATGTGTACACTACCTGAGATTCCGGTGTACGTATGGACATTTATGTACGTTTATAGATGGATGAGGTTGCACTTTTAACTCGCCACATACATACATACATGCATACATACACAAATACACAAACGCATAAAACACACACACACACACACAGGAGAAAGTAATAGTTAGCTGTATGTGTGTGTGTTTGTGTGTGTGTGTGTGTGTGTGTGTGTGTGTGTGTGTGTGTGTGTGTGTGTGTGTGTAAGAGATGAGAGAGAGAGAGAGAGAGAGAGTACGATAATGAGCGAGGGGGATAAGGAATAATTGTGAGAGAGAGAGGGAGGAAGAGAAACAGGAAGTAAGAGGGAAAAGAAGAAGTGAGAGGGAAGGAGAGGGAGTGAGAGGGAAAGTCAAAGATCAAGAAGTAGCGACAAGAAGTGATGCTCCAATGACATGAGTGGCCGTGACATTTCTCCCTCTCACTCCCCCCCACTCCCTCCCTCTCTACTCCCCTCTACCCCACTCTCA